TAATATGCAAAAATATTATATAATTATTTAAATATTAATATAAATATGTTTAAAATTTTATTAGTTGAGATTGTAAATTACTGTTTACATTTTTGTACTCATTTTTTATTTTTTACATATCATTTTAATTGATAAAATTAATTTCAAGGTGTAATAATTGATATAATAGAAAAAGAATGATTAATTTTTGTTAGATAATCATTGACAATAGAAATTTTGTAATAATAAATTTAAAATCTAATATCACACACTCAAGTAATTTTTATGTTATCATTAATTTTTAATTTATGAAAAAATATGAGAGTGAATTCGATTAAGAGATAATGAAATATTAATCTTTAATTTCAATGTTAAATTTTTTATTTACATGTTATATGGATTGACACGAATACGATATGAAAAATAAACAGGTTGATTGACACAAAATAATTAGTTAAATATGTTGAATTCGAGTTAATTAGTGTTCGACATGAATTTATAAATGAATGTATATATTTAAGAATAATATATATTTGTTTTTTTTTGTTAATTTTTGCATATTTGTTAAATTGTAGAATTTATTTTTGTCCATTGGATATATCTAACAGCTAGATATACTTGTAAATCAAATCTCAAACATAGAGGGGTATGAAGGTAAAAGACATATTTCTACAATCACTGGCACTGTGCACACACTAACAGGGGTATCAGTGAATATTCAAGAGGTGTTTTTGAACACATGATAGATCAGAAAGAATGTGAGTAAATTTTTTTCTAATAAAAATTAATTGGATAATAACATAACGTGCTAAGTTTGTTCGAGGATCAATCGTAACTGTCGGTCTGATCGTGAAAAGATAGATAATCATGTTTGTTAAAGAAAAAAAAATATGAATAAGAATGATAGAAAAGTGGATAAATTAACTTTTCTTTCGATTCACAAAAGTTAATCTCTCTAATTAGGAAAAAATGTTGATGAAAAGTTAATTATGAGTGTTGAAATATATGTTATTTACATATATATTTTTTTAATATTTGTATATATCATATTTAACTATTACATATGATGTATAAATTATTTTCATATTTAGATATAAATTGGCTTTTCCTAGTTGCCGATCATTTGCCAATCCTCGAGTTATTTAGTTTCAAAGACAATTTTACTTTTCAAACTAGGTCGCCTATGCCAAAAGTCCTGTTTCTGATCCCACTTGTACGCCCCTAGTAGCTTAGAGCTTTTCCACCTTAATGCAATCCAAAGAACCCAGCCGCACTTCGTCCAAAACCTCAAGCTCAATCATCATGGCTTCGTTGTATTTAGCTAGACTTAACCCGTTCTAAAAAACTACTCGTAGCGATTTTAAGGTAATTTTCATAAGTAAAACCGCATCATGCCCATACGCCAGTTTGAATGGTGTAATTCTGGTGCTAGATCATTTGGACATTTTTGTAAGCTCATAGTGCTTTCCAATAGTTTGTCATGCTATTCTCTTAAATTGTCTTTTACCGTCTTTGTGATAATTCTCTTCATCACATTGTTAGTGAATTCCGCTTGGCCTTTTCCTTGCATGTAATATAGGGTTGAATAGATTATGTTAAAATCATACTCATCTGCAAATCCTTGGACTTCGTTACCTACAAAGACTGTTCCTTAATTGGTCACTGCTCAAATCGGTGCACAATATTTTCTTTTATAATTTGTATGATGTCGGCCTGATTAATCGCCTTCATTGGGATGATCTCTACCCACTTTGTATAACTAACAATGAATAACGTGCATTGCATGTAAAAAAATTTGTTAAAACATTTGATAAAATACATAAAAAAAAAACTAATTATGTAATTACATTAAATATTATTTCATATTTATCATACTTACATTATTTGTATTCTCTTCATAACTATGAACATCCAATTTATTCATTTTTATGATTATTTCATTTGAATTACCAAGTAATAATGTTTATAAATTTTTATTTTCTCGATTTTTCTTTTCGTCTTTCTTGTTTTAACTTTGTGTATTAGTAATTTATGTCAAATTATTTTGATTCTGAATGAAGAGATAGTATAAATATAGTTGTTTTTAGGTATTGGAGATGATATTGTATCAATAGTTGTTAAATATCATGTTAATCATAACATAATCATTCAAAAGTTTTGCAAAGATAGAGATTTGTATAATATGTTAGAGATTAATTTGTTATTTAAATAAAAAGAGATATAATGTTAATTTATATATTTAAATACAAAAGGATATGCTGGTCTTTATATTTTTTTATAAAGACAAAATCATGAATCAAAAGTTTTCATGTTAAGATACTTTAATTAATATTATAGATAATTGGTGGCCAAAATGATAAAAGAATGTTGCTACGTAAAGAGGGAAAAATCTTTCCTAAGCTCTGAACGGCCATAACTTTATTATAGAATGTATTTGTATTGTTGACGCCCTCTAAATAGACCCGTGGTGTTGACATGCTTGATAAAATTAAAGAAACCATAATTTTTCTAATCAAGTTGATAAAACTAGATATTCAATTAATCTCTTTTTTTTTGTAATATTTTATGAATAATGTTTTTAGGACTTAAAAACTTAGCTTAATTTGTTGACTTAATAATATAACAATGATATGGTCATTAACATTTTTGTGATTATAAATTCTTGAACTTTTTTTTATTAAAACTTTATCACATAATACATCATTGTGCAAGTAAATTAGACCAATTTTTCAAATTTCAATACCATTACTCATGCTTTATTGCCAACTCGAAACCGTAGACAATAAAAGGCACTTTTTTCGGTCTCTTGCTTGATAATTCGTGTCTCAACTAATCTATGCATATACTAGGTCCTCAGTTTAATAAATTAATCTTTGCATATACTAGGTCCTCAGGAAGGCTGTCAAAATTCGATATGACACAATTAATCGACACGAATTAAACGGATTTGAGTGAGATTTTAACGGGTTTGGATAATAAACGGGTTGACACGCCAAACACGTTTAATAAACGGGTCGTATTCGAGTGGGACCTGTCAAATCATTTATCACACGTTTACCTGTTTAAATAAAATTAATATAATAATAAATTAATAATTATTTTAAAAAATTAGCAAGAAATAAAGAAATCAATAAGAAAAAAGAAATAAAGTAGTAGTTCAAAGACAAAATAGAGGAGATGAGAAACATTTCAAAGACAAAGGCAAACTAATGCTTTTTATTTTTGTCCCACATTAAAAAATGAGGGGAGATGAATAAAGTTGAATTGTTTATAAAAAGTAATGGCATCTTGCTTTTTTTTTTTTAAGCCTTCAAGTTTTATTTTTATGAGATTTGGCAAAAAATTCCTCTTTTTTGAGGTAAGTGCAATTGGCAATAAAAAAAGTGGAGTATTAAAATTTGTTAATATAATTTTTTTAAAATTAAATGAGTTATGTCATGTTACCCGTTTAATACGTGTTGAGATTTTTTATCCCTTTATTAAACGTGTCGTGTATGGATTTATATATTTTTCACCCGTCACCTGTTTAAACTTACACGTAACCGTTTAACTCAACACGTTTGACACCCCTAGTCCTCAGTTTAATAATCATATCATATTTCTGTTTTTCAAATGACAAACTCAACCTACCTGGCTCCTCAGTAGGGCTGTCACTCGAGCTTGAAAAATTTATTTCTTAATTAAGCTTAAAAAATTATTCAAGTTTGGCCCGTTTAGGAAACGAGCCAAGCTAAAAACAAGTCGAGTCTGAGCCGAGCTCAAATATTTGCATATAAACGAGTCGAGCATATCGAGTTTGAGCCGAACTTGTAAGGCTTATTTTTTAAACGAGATTAAAAATTTGTTCAAATTCGGGCACATTTAAAAAATGAATCGAGTTTTAATGAGTCAAATCTAAGTCGAATTCAAGTCAAACTCGAGTAGATCAGATTAACAACTCCGGTCCTCAGTTCAATAATCATTAGAAAAATAGCCACTTGAACAAGGATGATATTAAACTGTACCCTACCCACCTTGCCATTGTTTCACGGAATATAGGTACGGGTGTCCATGGGCCAGGCCGGATTAGGATAGTGAAATTTTTTTTCGGCTCGAGCTAGGGTAGTGTAAGCCCAAGCCCTTACCCAAATAAGTTCTCGGGCATGCTGGGCCTAGCTTCGAGTAGATGTAAGCCACCCGCAGCCCAACTCATAAGCCTATTGGCGGGGAGTGTGGGGGGTCCTTCTTACAGGCTTTTTTATATACATATTTATTTTAAAAAGATGAATATTTTTGTAACTTAATATTTGTGTAAATTATATTTTTGAATCAAAAATGAATAAAAAAAAATAATGAACTATATCTAATAGAATAAATAAATCTCAACTAGGTTGACACCTACTAATTTATCTGTAATTTGCATTAATTTACCATTTAAAATTTATATGCTTAATACATGAAAGAAAAATACATTATTTATAATATCTAAATTTTTAAAATTTTAAATTTTGATATTGGGAAACTTATTTCAACGTTTCAAATTTAATGGTCTAAAAGTATAACTTTTTTTCAAATGAATGGTGGATAGGTGGGTTGGGCTTGCGGGCGGGCTCTTGGGCGAGGTAATGAATTTGAGGGCAAACTCACGCCCTCTTTTTAAGGATATTGGGTTCGGGTTCGGGCTGGCCAACTATCGGGCCTATCAGACTTTGAGCCTATTTTTTTCGGGCCGAATAACATGACCCGTGGATAACTCGACCCACGAACACCCCTAAATATTGATATAGATTTTGAGGTTTAACCCCTACACAAAGAACTTGATCTCCCATTTACCTCAATGGAATCCATTTTCCCGTGTCATACTCTTTGAAACATGACAAAGTCTTACCTGTTTTTGGGAATTTAGACCCAATTGACAGCTTTGTCAACAGAGCAATGGCATAAAGTCCAAACCTCAGAAGTCATCAATTTGCAGATGAATATTTCATCCCCTCAATACTCAAGTATTGAACTCTCTCCAGAGTCGCCATCATCATCTTGGGATGAGCTGGTCTTCGCTATCTTTTGATGCAGCAGAGGAGAATCTTCAATTCAAGATCTTCACTGAGGATGCCCCAAAACCACTGAAAATCGATCTCTCCATGGGTAAACCTAAAGAAGAAAATCTAAAGCAAAAGCAATACATAGGAGTTCGAAGGCGACCATGGGGAAGGTTCGTGGCCGAGATAAGGGATTCGACAAGACAAGGAATGAGGGTTTGGCTTGGAACTTTTGATAGTGCTGAGGAGGCTGCTTTGGCTTATGATCAAGCTGCATTTTTGATGCGAGGTCAGTTGGCTCTCCTCAACTTCCCAAAGGAGAGAGTTCAGGAGTTGCTTCGAGACTTGAAGATGAGGTGCAGCTAGAAGGATGGGTATTCCCCCGCTGCAGAATTAAAGGAAAAACATAAGATGAGAGGCAAGTCAAGAGGTAGGAAAAAGAAAGGGAAAGACCTAAATGCAGTAAATGCCTCATGGATCTCAGAAATTTCTAACAATGTTTTGGTACTTGAAGATTTAGGAGCAGATCTGCTCGATGAGCTCCTGAGTTCATCTGAGAGCGCAAGTACTGGATCGTAAATTCCCTCAAACTTCTATTTTATGGACATCCTTCCCACTTCTGATCTTTGTTCATTTGTTTTCACAATCATCATCTGAGAGTAATAAATCAGTACTAGTTCTAGCAGTAAATTCGCATTATTTCTTTTTATTGTTTCTTCTTTTATATCTTCTTGTGCTGCTGCCACTAGTTAATAAAATTTATAATACCTACATCACATATTGTTTTGTCATGAACCCTAATTGGATTGCTAATTTCTTTGTTATATCATCTCCTTTATCATCTGAGAGAACTGCTAGTACGAACTAGGAAATCCGCATCACCGTAATCATTTTTTATGAAATCCCTATTTTCCAGTTTCTTTTTTCCTTCAATTTCTCTCCTTAAGCTTAGAGAGAGAGAGAGCATAAACTTGCTCTAATGTGGGTGGAAAATACAAGTTGCAGTGTTTTATTTATTTCAATCAATAATTTCCTCATTCGTTTCCTTGTTCCGTTCAATTTTTTCCAGCATAAACTGTCGTTTTTTTCAGCAAACATAGTTATATTGATTCAATACAAGCTTTACAAGCAACAATCGTGCCTGTACAAACAGTAGGCAATATGATATGAAGTTATGAACAAAAACCTCTAACACAGGTTATCCGAATTATGACGGAAGTATAGGCCGTGGGCCAATACTTCACCCAATATCCGATGTCACTTACGTTAGGTAACTCCTATGAATACACAATCTTGTGTCATGCTGTGGTTTGACAGCAGGTATAAGTTCCATAGGATGGCCAAAAACAGTAAAAAAGCAAATGTAACAAGTATTTTGGAACATTAGAGTTCTTTTTCCTTAACAAATTCTGGAACTAATCTGATGCAGCTGTCAGGGAGTAAACATTGTTGCACCAGAGCTATTTTGCCTTGAGCTTTAGAATTGCAGGGAAGCCAATCTGTCCCTTATGCTTTCCCTAATAACCAACACTGTAGTATAAACATGCTTAATGTGGACGGAAACTACAATTATGCAATGTTTCAGTAATTTCAATTCAGGAGTTTCCTCTGTAAATTTATTTTTCCCCTTTCATCTCTTCCTTTCCACTTTTCCTTTTTGTTTCTGTTTTCATACTTATTTTGTTATTTGTCTTCTCTCTCTCTCTCTCTTCGGAGGTTTTGGTATTTGTTTTTTATAACCCACTCAACTTGGTCTTTCCGCTTCACCTTTCTAAACAGCAGTGGCATCTTTATCGTATTGTCCATAATCGAGGTGTTTGCACTTGCACAGTTGCATTGCTTATTTGATGTTTCTTTGGCAGGTTGATGATGAAACCTAGTATTAATGGCATCAAACAATGTCCAGAATTTATTTTCAGAGTGCACATAAATTTTCGCGTAACCCATGATCTTTTCATGTGGCTAGGCATAGTTACTACTCCTATTAGCAATTATCACCAAATTCAGGCCCTTTGTTAATCTCTTCTCAGAGAAAAACGTTCATGGAGACCGTAATCTGTGAGATTGTATGAGACTTCATCCATGTTTTGTGGGGATCCTACTTCATCCATGTTTTGTGGGGATCCTACTTCATCCATGTTTTGTGGGGATCCTACTTCATCTGTATGTAGCAAGCAAAATCGGCAAGTGACCTAAAAACATCTTATTTTAGAAGTGGTGGTTGTTTGACCGGAAAGAATTGCTATCCAGGAAGGAAAAGGACTGTGTTTCTTAATATGCCAGATCATTAGGGTGAAGATAATGCCTTTTAAAGGGATTCACCTATATTGTTCTTGTTAGGACAGTGGGTTGAGTATGATGAATGTCAAGAGCAATCTGTGCACTTTGAGGAACATTGTTAAGACATATTATAATCTCGCACCTCCTTAATTGTTTGTTGTTGGATGGTAAATTCACCTCCAGGATAAAATAAAATCGTTGAAACCTGCATTTGGAATGTTTTACCTCAACTTTCCTGCGAAATAGTGTAGTTATTTGGAACATTACTAAATAAAAACCAGTTTTCTTTCCAAATTGATGTAGTTGATAGTGTAAGAATGAGAGGGAAGCGATGAGAGATTGTTTGTGAATATTGTGTACTTACTGACCTTGTGTGATAGACTGATAGTGTACGGGTGGGTGGGTTAGTGCATATTAGCATATAATGTATCAAAATCCCCACATTACTTCTGTCTAGCATGTGGTACCACCTGACACTTAGTTGTGCAGAGCTGTCCTTTGGTTAGTTAGTTAGTCAGGTCAAGAGCAGTTTTTATATCAGTTCGCGTGCCTCGCATTCTTAAGAGGTGATTGTACGCCAGATCACTGGTTTTTAGAGGCATGACTTTTCGTTTATTTATCTGGGATGCCCAATTTACTTGGGTCATCTCCGGATCTCGTACTTTGACGAGATGATTCGGAAGGTGCGCGAGCAAATTTTTGAATGGGCGAATCGCTTGTTCTCCTTTGGAGGTAAGTTCACTCTGATTCGTCATGTGCTCGCGTCGATGCCTATTCACTTGTTTCATGTGTTGAGGTCTCCTACGGATGTTATTCACCAGTTAGAGATGTTGTTCACTCGGTTCTTGTGGGGTGATACAACTACTCATCGGAGGATTCACTGGTGTCACTGGACTGAGGTATGTTTCCCTGTAAAGGAGGGCGGCTTAGGGGTGCGTTCTTTTTCTGACTTAGCCGAGGCTTGTGAGGTGAAGCTCTACTGGAGTTTTTGTGCTCAACAATCACTTTGGTCCACTTTTATGAGGGCCAAGTATTGTAGGTCTACCCATCCTGGGCTGATTGAGTTGCGTTACCCAGCTTCACCTCTTTGGAGGTGGTTGTGTGGGATTCGATCTGTAGCTGAGCTGAGGATCAGATGGTTAGTATGGTTTGGTGAGGTCAGCTTCTGGTATGATTGTTGGTTGGGGGATTACCCATTGGCTTTATTGTATCCGGAGGCAGCTTCTAGGGTTCTTGTTTCTGCTTACTGGGCGGGTCGATAGTGGGATAAAAGTCGATTGTTGAGGGTTTTACCTTCTTCAGTTGTTGAGCAGATTGTGCAGATTCTGATTCTAGAGCAGGGGGTTGATCAGATGAAGTGGAGGTTGTCTTTGGATGGGGATTTTTCATTGAGGACTGCTTGGGCTGATATTCGGGGTGTGGCTCCAATTCGGGTTGAGTTTTCTTGTGTCTGGCAAAGACATATTCTAACTCAGATCTCCTTCTTTATGTGGCAGTTGTTTCATGGTTTCCTGGCCACAGATGATGGCTTAGAGAGACGGGGTTTCCATATAGTATCCCGGTGTGTGTGTGTGTGGTGGGGCTGTTAAGACTCTTAGGTATCTTTTTCTGGATTGTCCGCTTGCAGTTCAGGTGTGGGATCATTTTTATCAGATGTTTGGGATTAGATGTTGGCCGTTTCAATCTCCTTATACTTTGATGTTTCATTGGCGACGTTGTGCTCATTCTACAGGTCAAGTGCAGGTATTCCTACCGTGCTTCATTCTATGGCACTTATGGAAGACATGTAATGCTTATAGGTTCGATGGCCAGGCCTTTCAGGTGCCCGTTGTGATTCAGAGGGTTATGACTGACATGCAGTTGGTTGGGCTTACTTTTGGGTTTGCTCCGAGTCAGTTGCATTGGGATAAGTCAATTGAGTTTCTAAGTTCTCTTAGGGTCTTGGTTCTTCGGTATCGACCTTTTCGCTTGGTTACTTGGACTTGTCCTATAGCGGGTTGTTTGAAGATCAGCGTTGACGGCTGTTCTAAAGGCAATCTGGGGCTGTCTACGACAGGGGGTGTTATTCGGGACCACCAGGGTCGGGTACTTAGGGCTTTTGGCTTGTTTCTGGGGCATCAGTCTATTCTGTATGCAGAGTTGCAGGCTATTTGTGATGGGTTGGAGTTGATAGTAGATTTGGGAGCTTCAAAGTTGGTAGTGGAGTCCGATTCAGCTACAATGGTTTCTTGGGTTTCTTCTCAGGGCACTGGGTGTTGGGTTTATGCTTACCTGCTTGCTCGGATTTGGCTTCTGTGTGCTTCTCTCTCGGCTCGCTTCTACCATGTCCTGTGGGAGGTGAATCAGGTTACAGAATTCATGGCTAATTGGGCTTGCTCTCAGCAGCTCAATCAGCGATTTCCTGATTCGTCATCCCTTCCTTCTGGGATTGCTGGCATCCTCGCCTTGGACGCTCGACAAACTCCTCATGTTCGTCGTTGAGTTTTTATTTTAATTGATATTTTCTGTTATTTTGTTCTATGGGGATTCCCTACTTTCTATTTATTTATTTTTCATGTTTTTGGTGGTGAGTCATCACCTTGCTTTTGCTTTGACTTTCTTCTACTCCAGAAGGCTTGGCTCTACGTCCTCCTCCCTTGTACATTTTTCCATATATATATATATATATATATATATATATATATATGAAAAATATACAAACTATGATAGATGTGCGAAATTCATGGAAGATAGGGAGAAATATGAACAGATATGGAAAATATACAAAATATTCCAATTAAGAAAAATAAATACTTACAACACTAGAACTAATGGTCTAGTGGAAATAAGTGGTAATAGGGAAGCTCTTCTTTTGCATCATGAAGAAGGCTTAACAAGTGAGGGGTAGGATTACAAAACTAGAGGGTTTGTAATGTTACTTTGAAATCAGACTGGGAAGTGTCTGAGGTTCTCAAAGCTTGGGTACTCTGAGGAGAGGAAGCTGCCTTATATAGAGGTAAGGGACTCCGGATTCCTCTTGTAATAATTCTGTCTTTCTCTTTTACTCAGGGTAAAGTGAATTCACTTTCTTGCTTTCGGCTGAAAAGTGGAGTAAGATTCTTTTACCCGGGTAACTAGGACATGTTGAAAGGACTAGTGGGTCCTTGTTTTGTCCTGAGAATCCATCTTTCGGTGGAAAAGCAGATTTGTGGGTCCTGCCTTTGTCTGTGAGAATCCTACTTTTAGGGAAAGGGGATCCTATGCAGACTTGTGATATTATTTTTACACAGAGTGGACAACTTTTCTTTCTTTTCTGAAGA